CACGCCACGTGTTGACGCTGCGAGAAAGTGCGCGTTTTGCGGTAGTTTGGGGAAACTTTCGTAATCTCGGAGCCGACGAGATTTTTGGGAACGTGCGCTAAAAAAATGCGAGATTTGAGACAATCTCGCTCTGAAGACAGAAGACGTTTCGGTTTGTGCACTCTCTATTAGACGTTACTTGTTATTAAATCAGTCCACAAGACTTCCACTTTGTTACAAGGCCCCAATTTTAATTAACTAAGAACTCAAAATAAACACATTTTATAAATTCAGTTATAAACAAAAAACGTGTGTTTTGATTGGTTATAAATAATGAATAGATTTAAACATAAATGAACTTCATCGCGCTTTGAATTTATTATAATCAGAAAACATTACATAAAGACATCCGGGCAGTGACGAGGATTTTTCGTCAGTGGTTTTCACAATAAAAAGAATCTTAATTTTTCTTGTCATCATTATCAAAAGTCATTAACCGATGTCAAGTGTTACACAGCAGAAAAGAACTCTATAATCTGACAATAAGTGCTTAAAATTTAAGTTGGAATTACTCGCTGGGTGTGTTAAGTTTTTTTTACTGTGTGTTCCTCGATGGTTATCTAAGAACTACGTACGTAAACAAAGCTTAAAATTTCAGACAACGTAACAAAAGAATTTTAGAACGTTACCAAGCTCTGGTAAGCAAAGACTATTTTGATTCCATCAACAAGACGTCACAATGACGAGACTTTTTGAAATCTTATATTTTTGTCCACGTTGTGTTGTGGTAATAAGACTTACCATCAACCAGTGTCTTAAGTAACGCCTTCTTTTAGTTCAAAAATCGCGAGATAACTCAGTCGTCAGTGATCATGTACTACAGCGGAGCCATCTGTGGTGCAAAATCAACGTAACAGCCAAAATCTTCGCCACGGACTTTCGCGACAGGGAAAGACTCGACCGGGGGCACTTCTGGACTTCTAGAACCGCCCGCATCATGAGTCTGCCCAGTGGCATGGACGTTTCGGCCCTCATGTCTCAGCACCCCGTGCTGGGGGCCATTCCGCCAGCCTTTTTCCTCCGGGCCACGGAGCGGTATCAGCGGACCCCGAAGTGTGCGCGCTGCCGAAACCACGGAGTCGTTTCGGCCCTCAAGGGTCACAAGCGTTACTGCAGATGGCGGGACTGTGTGTGTGCCAAATGCACGCTCATCGCCGAGAGACAGCGCGTCATGGCCGCCCAGGTAGGCTGAGCAGACACCCGGAGGAATCTCTTTCAAAATAATGAGGCCAATTTGCTGTTCTGCACGTATAAAACTCTCCACTAGTCTAAGGTCTGAGGTCTGAGCCTCGCACAAAACATCTCCGGGCCTTAAAAAGCATCTGATGTCATAACCTCAAATAGGATTCAACTACCGGCCTAAGGAGAAAAGTTTTCTGAATGATCTGAGGTTCTTGAAGGCGTCATAACTACGATGTCTGTCTTCTGGGTTGTGACGGAGGGCTGAAACCCTGAAGATGTTGACGGCATGTCTCTCTTAAATGTTGGTGTTTCAACCCAGAAGAACAAATCGGTAGTTGTTAAACGCGTTCATCCTAGTTTCTTCAGAGGCCGGACCTGAAAAAAGGACAGAGATAATCTGTTTTAGTGCGAAGTTGATTATTCACGCATTCATCATGAGGCAAGCTCAGCGATAGACGGGCTATTTTATCGACGAAATAAATGAAAAGGTTAAATTTTACTTCCCTCTTCAGGTCGTAGCAAAACAAAACTTATCCTAGAGACTGTTTAAATTTTTCAAACTTTCAGTTCCGAAATTCTGTTGTCACCTGTCAGTAGGAACTGCGAACCGAGTTTTGTGTTAAGTCAGGCGATGACAGGGAAAATGCCGACATAATTATTGTAACAGACAGCTAAAAGAGTTCTAAATACCTCCAATACCAAATTTAAACAAAGTCCGTGGAACCTCAAATCTTACAAGTCCACGGACTTACCTACATTACGAAATTCCGTTCATCATTAAGTTTTAAAACACAGATTTGTCTCATTACAGAAACAAAATCTAAGGTCAAAACGTGATAATTTTATAATATTTAGACGATGATAAACATTAAAAAGAACAGATTAAAATAACCTTTGACCTTTGGTTTGTGAGACAAAGTTACATATACCAACGTGTAGGTTGATAGGTTTATAGGCCTAATAATTTTTATAGTCATAACTTTGAAAAAAGCCTGAATTATTCTGAACAAAACAGCGAAATTATTTTCCCAAATTCAATCTCATATTGAATTTATTTACCACGTAAAAAGCTTCACTCAGACCTACAGATATTTTTTGGTTAACAATGACAGAGTAAAATTTTTCAAGCCTCAACAATCGGACTCAAAATTTAAAACTGTTGAAAAAGGAAAAGTTTGTAACAATGTTCCAAGCGACTTTATTTATTGTTGCAAATGTTTTTCACCTTTTTTCACTACTGACTGCGGTTAGAAAAACATTTTTGTCTATAAACAAAACAAATTCTGAGTCCTTTTAACACCTCCAGTCGTTCCTGGGGCTTCCTGCTTTGCCGCGTTTAAAAATTTGTGTCAGACCTCCTCAACAATACCGAAAGCTCATTTATTCAGAACCGTCCGCGTCGCTCTCAAAGCACATTCCTAATATTCCACTTGGTCCGATGTCTGGTCGTGCCAGATTTTTCCGTCTTCCAAGAAGTTCGTTTTGAGCGCGTTCCCATTTCCCTCGATACAGTCTTCGGCGGTCGACGTTTCAATATTTAACACGAGCTCCGTCCACCCCAGAACCAGAGCACGCTGTTTGGTTAGGAACTGAGCAAACGCAGGTGTTCGGTCACCTTGCGATTACGACGATTTTCGACAAAACGGTGTACGTAAATATCTATGTATGAACGAGCCTCTGGGATGGACATTCATTAATGTATTCTTACGTTTGTGTCATCACGAAGTCTTCGTTTCCTTGTTTGATTATCAACTAATTACATACTCATTTCTGTTCTCAATAACCTCAGAGAGGTCTGACCTCAGCCTGTGCCTAACCAATGTTGGTTAATAATTTAAGGCCTATTACGACTAAAAGACTATTCTTTAGCCAGTCACATTTCACTGCTAAATATTTACGTAGAAACTCTAATTTCGCCAAGTTAAGTGAATTTATCGTTGATTAAATATTGTACGAGAGCTTAGGGCTTAAATACTTTATCATAAAAAATTGCCTTAAACTGATATATCATATTTCTAGGTTGTTTGTGATCTGCGCCTGTTATAAAAATTGAGTTAGGCTGATGAATTTAGGCTAAATTTGTATTACAGAAACTAATACGAGACGCGTGTTCAAAGAAACTCGCATTACAAGAAGAATTTTTGGTTTATAAAGATGGCTGTCTTATGTGATGTTACGCTGTGGATTCTGGTAGAAATGTACCGACGTTTCAGAGGTGTTTATGAGTCCATTATCAGGGGGATGAGGTTATAGCCCTGATGAAGGAAGTTCTACAAGGCTACATAGCGCAGAAACCAAGAAGACAGACATTATTCATTCTCGCCGCGGTAAAAATCTCAAATCTCACAATTTTTTGGATTATTGCCCGCAAGGTAAAAGGGATGGTGGAACATGTGTAAAAATCGGATTCGTCAAATTTGATTATAATAAGGGAACAACACGTAGTCCGTGTCGCTGAAGTTTTGAGAACAAACAGCTGTGAAATTTGATCGAAGAAACTCAGAGAGATTCTGTGTTTTTGTTCATAGCATCTTCAGTCATTCTCCGCTACTAAAACCTAGGTCCTCTTATGGTGTCATCATCATTAATCTAGGTTTCGTTAATTTCTGTCACGTGTTCACACTTCGGCTTAGCTTAAACGGACACACCGCTGTGTTAAGCAGCTTATAATTAACATTATTTTTTATTTATTTAGTGTTCTGTCTGAGGACAGGTCCATATGAGCAGGATCCTTCCATCCTTTTCTCGGATTGGGACCTGTTCATATACGTTCTTGGCAGATTATCCAGAAGTGGTTTGCCATTGCCTTCTTCTGTGTGTGAATGGAGTAATTGTTGGGATGCCACGGAGAAACCGGGGAAGCCCCCGGAGGAAAACTCCGTGTTGCCTAGACCACGGCCTTGCCCAATACAAGTTATAAATTCGGGCACCGCCGGGAATCGAACCCGGGACCCCAGGATTACAAGGCCAACGTAAAAGCGTGCCTACAGAGGGATTAATATGACCAATCCACAGTGGATTTATTTAATTGATACCAACTGGATAATCCGCCGTCACACATTTTTGTCCTGATAAATATCTTACTATCTTTCCATCTCCTTCTATTTTCGATGTGGTAGATTTGTACGGGGTTTTCCAACCAAAAAATAAGGTTGTTTTTTTACCTATTTCAACTATCCTGAAATATCAGAATATAGTAACTATTATATTTAGATTTTAATATCCAAATTGTAACTTACTGGACAACACAACAATGTTAATACTTTACGAGATTTTGTGGCCTGTATGTCTGTTTATTCGAGGTAGAAGATTATGAACTATCAAAATAGTTGAGACGAGTGCAAAAGTCAACTGAAGAATTTCACTAGCTACAGGGACAGAGATTTTCTGGTAGCTTGTATCGATTGCCGAGCTCGAGACTCCACGCCCTGTCCAGGACACGCATCAGTGCTACGGAGCCGTCTAATTTGAGCTCATAAATTTAGAAGAACTTCATTATAGTACGTGAATCTCAATAGACAATTCATGTGTTTACTTATAACAATGACCAGTAATTAAATACAATGCTTTAGATACTCTTTTGAACCAGAAATTACTGACATTTGATGTGAATATTTAATGTGAATATAGATAATATGATATATAATCCCTGAGGCCTGTTTATAAATGTAGATGGCCCTTATGGCAGTGACTTTTATTCGAGACTCGAATTAGAAGGCCGGACTGCCTCAAGAGGAAAGCTCTGTATATTAAAAACAATGATAAATAACTGCCAACTGTTAGAATTGACTGTCTACTTTATAGGCATACTAGAATACATAAAATACGTAATTAATAATTAATTCTAACAACATTTCCTAAAGTCTGGTGCTAAATATGTAGAGTGCCGAATAGTTAGCTCAGCTGGTAAAAATGCTCCAGCATCTTATTGAATTCCTAGATTCATTACCGTGTTCACAAGAACCAGCAAAGTTAACCATTCTTAGGCAAGTGAGTTCAGTTCACACCGTGAGACCATCTATTTTTATTATCAATTTTAATAGTATCATCTCATCCGAATCTGGGTCTCCAAAGTGGTTTATTTCTTTCAGGCTCAACAGAACCTAGAATAATTAAGAATATACAAAGTTTGTTTTGATGCCACTCCACATTCATCTTCATATATTCTTCATATCACTTTAATATTAACAATGATTTACATTATATTATATTGCATAATTGAAGTCACCAATTCACTGTTGTCTTTACAAGAAACACTGAAATGATATAGTTAGAATGTTTGTATTATAAAAATATAATTTGATTTCGTGTGGTTGGTAATCTTTCGTAGTAAACACGTGAGCCAGTAATACACGACAAAGAGGTTCACAAACACTTTTAATCAAAAAAGAACATATCTCGCAAAATGTTCTGTCACTTGATTTAGACGTCATCAGATATTATATAAGAATGTAATGAATAAGTACTTTCAGAGTCCTCTTTTCAGAGCTTTTACACACACAGAATAGGTTAATGTAAGGGAGTAAGGCAAAATGACACTAAAAGAAAATAAACATTAAATTGCAATTATAAAATTAATTAATAAATTACAGAATTATACTTACAAGAAGTTACGAATTCAAGTAGGTTTTCAATCAAGTCTTCTCGGCCGATCACCAGTTAGAGAATGGAGTTGAGATCCACTGTATCTCTGCCTGTCATCAGTGTTTATTTTGATAAAACTCGATTCTCACACGGGTGATTGGCTGCTTTTGTTTGTGTTGTTTGACAGACAATCTACAAACCAGGGACTATTCTTTACATATTGTTAATTGCCAGAATGAAAAGATAATTGTGTTGTGTCTTAATCTGTATCCAATTATAGTGCTATTTGAAGACAGAACCAGTATCCGAAATGCACTCTTACTTGTCAGAGTTCTGGATTCCATGGAATTTCTTTTGTGAAAAGCAGTATTCCTGCAGTGTATCGTTTACAGAAAAGACAATCACACAACACATGATTGAAAGTGGCGTGTTCTTTGTCCCGTGTTCAAAGACATAATCATCTGAACCCAAATAAGTCCAACATTTCACTCTCATTATTCATAAAAATCTTAGTTGCATATCTTATTTAATCCTTTACATACTACAGACGAGATATATCGCTTATAAATACTTTGGGTATGGCCTATTTTGTGTTTGAGAAGATGAATCCCTCAGATTATTATTCTGAACTATGTGACATTAAGAACACACCACTTACATCTACCAAGTGCCTTGTAAGACGTTAACATCTTCACAAAAATATAAAAAGATAAGAATTTGAATATGGAATGATTAAAGACACTTCAAATTTTATATTTGGTTAAAGGAAAAATTAATTTCTCAATCAAGTATCTTCTGCTTATATTTGAGACATCGTACTCCCCGAAGAGGAGAGATATGTTACGTGTTTGGCTAAATGCAACTGTCTGAAAGATGGATGAACTGAAGCCAGGCTGTGCTTCAAGATCTTCTTATGTTTATTTAAGAGTCGATATTTTCATCAGCCAGAAGCATACTTGTGAATATCCCTCTCGCACGAAGTTAAGAAACAATCTGCAACAGTGAACATCCCTTTGATATTACACGAAAAATGGTGTGAGGTCCGTCAATGGGTCATATCTTCCAATGTGAACGTCATTGTACTTGGTATTTCATAAAATTTGGTAGTCAATGAGTTGGTGAAGAAATATCGCGCTTTTAAGGAAGTTCCTCTCGATATTTACAGAAGCAGGAACCCGTCCTGGGAGAGGAAAATAATGTCTTAACCTTCAGACACTAAGAAACATCTCTCAAGACCAGCTTTAATATATTTCAGTCTACACATAGGCACGAGGTCCGAATGTTCTATTCCCGTCATGCCTTTCAACCAAAATTTTGTTAATAATTCTCATCTTCCTCACGCGTGTTGCGTACCAGCCCGACTTTATGTAAACTACTATGACATGGCAAGGACTATTTCCTTGTATTCATACGCGTTACCTTTCTACACTTGAATGCAATGACAACAAGACACTAACCATATTTGAATATACATGAAACACATTTCAGTATTTCAGTACATTGAAGGACGTGCACTTCTGAAAATGAAAAATATTGATAAACATTTTCGGCATCAAACAGGGCAATTGTGTGGTATTTTGTCTTTGTTAACAAGATAGACATTCACGTCCTCTCCCTACATACAGACAATGAAATTCGAGAAGCACTGAGGTTCGTTAAGAGAAGACAAAAGTTATCTGGCAAAATTCTGCGCCATATCAACCAAGTTACGCCAAAGCAAACTGTTCATGGAAGTTACTTTGTGTGCAAAACAAGGACCTGTACATTCGTACGTCACTTATCAATTAAAGTTGTTCACTGATGTTACATGGGTCAACAAATCGTATCCCTAGGTATTGGTACGTTTCCTGAAATTTATCTTAACAATATACAATGCAAGATTTGTAAGTCGATCTTACAGAAATTCAGTGTAACATTACAATCACAGGCTTAAGATACTTAAAAGAGTTAATATAATTGTTATTAAGAAATACATCACTATCGATATTACAAGGTAAGATTTATTTTGATTATTAAAGATATTTGTGATACTGGATAAAATATAGTTTTATTAACTGAAGCCTAATGCGTAGATCAACATATTTTATACACATAAAATCACTGGATAATTTGACGAGGAGACAGAAATAAAGAGTGAAGACATTAAGAGACATAGAAGTACTTAATAGTGTCGAAACACTGAATAAGAAGGATCAGGATTCGACATCCATGCAAGACTTTATTTTATAAACCTGATGAAAACGAGACCTCGAAAGACCTAACATACACCCCCTTCATTCGTAACTTAAGTTTGTAATTCTGTGAACTTTCATGCTGTATATAACTCAATGTCTGTGTGGTCTGAGTCCATGCATCTGAAAACTAAGTCGCGGACCCCAAGCACCTACCGGCTCGAGAACTTAGGTCGTAAGATGGTTTAGAGGAGATACAATCTTTATACGTCTGCATATAAGATCTTTCTTAGAATAAGTTAAGTTAAATGGTTTTGGGGCGAGCCCCAACACAAAAACGTTAAAGCTACACGTTTGATCTTATCGGAGCGGATTTTGCAGATATGAAGTCTCTATTAACGTTCTAAGTGGCCATCAGAATAAGGAATATTCTCTGAGGCTGTGGTGGTTGCATATCAGTGGTTTGAGAGAATCACGAAGATTGACGGTTCAGGGACTAATATGGTGCTAGGACAGATCTCACAAAGACAAGCTTCTGCCACGCCCATAAATGTCTCGATGTCTTTTACAAGTGGAGACTGCGAGGTGTTACATCCACTATATTACATCTTATATGTTTATAAATACAACTTTATTGTATTATAGACTAAATTATTATTTCTTATACTACAGAACATAGGATATTATACAATTTTTCGGATAACGGACGGTGTATAGTAATCTAAGAAGAGCATAGTGAGGTCTCTCTAGACGAAGGTTATGAATAGCTGTGCTAAAGTGATCGATATAATAAAATACACACATTCCAATATGCTCTTGTTTATAACAAAACTAACGTTTTAGATTAGAACACTGCAAATATAGGAACGGTTAGCAATGTGGGGTTATTTCGCCCTCGTGAGATCGTTCTAGTTACAAGGCCAGTAACAGAAGCCTAGCGTGTTACTGCAATGGTATAAGTTCTTGGGGCCACAGGACATACCCAATGAATGCAACGCATTTAAAGTATGAATTTCTTCATTGTAATCAAGGGAATGATTGTCATGTATTTAGAAAGATAAATCAAAACCTTTCATGTAGGAAAATTATTTGTGCTGTAATATTGTCTGATGGGTGATATTACTACAGTTGTTTAATTTTACAAATAGCAACAACACTAAACCGTCGCTTTGAAAATAAATGTGTTATGAAACACAATTGTATTTTTTAGACAGTTACCGTAATTGCTCGTCATTGTTTATGGCCCATGTGATGTCATATTCGATCGCTGACAGTTTACGACGAACGGAATGTACCTTACTCAGCAATTTCACCATCTCATTTAGCCATAAATAAAAAGAGAAACGACTTAAGATTTGAGGTTTTCACAGCGGTGAGTATGAAAACAGAACTCGGCTTAATATTGGTTTTATGATTGCGTAATACTAAAATACACGCGCGTTTTTGTAAAAAAAAAAAATGCGATCTCAAATGCTTACGAATATTGGTATTTATGACTTCACTTGTGATTTATTGTGAGGTGCTTTCCTTTCTTTTCCACAGGGTCCATGCCCCGCCCATATATGATACATGAACAGAGCTGCACGTCCGCTGCACCAACCCTACATCATCATTATTTTATGGTGGCCGCTTTGTTTTTCTGCGCAGGAAACAAGTCTGAGTTCTGCTAAATATCTTTTCCTCTAGTGTATATGTACGCGTGCATGCGCCGATTGCTAAGCGAAGGAAAGTGCGGCTGTACTAACAAGAATAAAAACATTGGCTGTAGTAAGTCACCTGTATTGATTAAACTACTAGGGAAAGTTGTGTTGTTCCGTCACATGTCTAGTGGTGTACCAATAAAAATTATAGTTGATACACCAATAAATACCATCGTTAATCACAGTTAATTTTTTTACCTGGTTTATTAAAATATTTTAAATACGGGCAAGGCATTGAAATGGTTATAACCTCTATATTTCCAATGCAATAGCGACTGAAAACATTTATTTCAGGATTTAGTTCTGGATAGCAGTTCGAGTCGTGCAGTCTGGTACATAGTCAAATGCATTTATAGTAAATAGAAGAATCGATATAAATTTCCTGAAGTTGTGACGTCACCACGGGTCTAGTTGTTTGCCGATACCAATACTTTTTGCACACGTCTTGTTCCCACCACTACTTATACCTTCCCTCCCTATTCGCGCAAACCAAAGGCCATCTTAAAGTAGTATGACTCTAACTTGTACTCTAAGGCTGTATCAATTCTGACCGATTAGCAGTATTCATAAAACGGATTCTACTTAACGAACGATGTGTGTTAGATACATGCCTTAGATCTGCCCTGCCTTAAAGTCGCGTTCACCTTCACTTGTCTCGACAACAGTGGACACGGGAAGTGATCTTTACTGATCGATAATTAATCGTGTACTCTGTGTCGATTGTGGAACTCTGACAAGGCGTGTGAAGTGGGAGTAGATCTAATACTACAGAAAAGTATGACTACATATGGACACGGCGTTAGATCTAACCAAAGTAATGGTAAACTGTTTGCGTGCTAAGTAAATACGTGAGTGTTAAATACTCCTGAATCTTATGTAGTGATTAAAACGAGTCGCTGACTGAACACTTATTATAATATTAATTTAATAAATGGTAAACGAAATATATGGTGGTCTAAAATAGGCGAATGAAAATTACACAGTAATATTTGACACTTGAGATTCTCACGGGATGAAGAAGTCGAATGTGATCTTTAGAGTTGTGCGAAATTTTAGGTAGACACCAGCGATATGGAGGAACATACCGTCTTCATCCTCTACCCTGAATTTGGTGGCGATACGTTCCATCAGAACGTTGATAATCGCCTACAAAACTGCATTGAGTTGCAATCCGAAGGACCACAATCAAGATTTTGTGTAACAAGTTAAATTTATTATAATTATAATTTAAACGTGTAATTAGACATCATGTTAATTAATTAGAGACTCGAATATAACAAATCACAATACAACTATCATCATGCACAGCCAGAAATTATTTTTCTTCTTTGTGTTTAGTTACATATTCACGCCATCCAAAAAGGATTAAAATAATATTCAGGCTTAATCTTAATGAAATTTACAACTTGTAACACGAACCAAGTTTTGCACGATAAATCATTTTTGAAAAGTTGGCAAACTAGATCTGAATATTATGTACTGTACACAGATAGGAACAGAAATACAATGCATTTGGCAATGTATAACGCACATTCCAAAATTCATGAAAATCTATTCATTAGTTTAACATATGAAACACGCTGACAAACGACAGACAGACAGACAGTTTCTCGTGTACGGATTCACTTCGTAGACGTGCTGAGAATGCGTTTTAACTACCGCTTACAGTGCGCTCTCGCTTATCCCATGGTGCACTACCAGTACAGAAGGACTGGTTGCGGAAGAGGCAGGGGGAAGTGCGTTTGTTGTGTATAATACATGGATGAACATAAATCAGGGCAGGCAGTGTGCACCGATATCAACTGCTGGCGTCCAGTGCGTCACAAACACGACCACCAACCCACCCCTCCCCCGTATACTCAGCGGAGAATTACCACGCTATGGGATGCCCTATATCCAACACGAATGCTAAATTTTAATGGCTTAGAGTGTAGGCCTGCGGTATTTTTTTAACAAAGGACATCAAATACAGTGTTTTCAATCGATTTAATTCAACATTTGCTTTAGACAAGGGTTTATGGACACTTTTCCCGGATGAAACTTATTGCTTTCAAAATTTAAAGTTAGACCAACAAAAGTAATTACACTTGTTTTATATTATGTTGCATATTGTCTAATATCTTAAACAAATTTGATGCACACGACGTTTCGGAAGGTAGCTCTACTCCCGCATTCAGGTTGTCTATCAAACTGACAGATTTGTTATTACTTTTCAAAATTGTTAGTAACAGAGGTTGGGATTTCAACTCGGAGGGGAGAGCCAAATGGAACTCACGTTCAGGGCTGGTTAACTAATGACCTGTTCAGTTGTTCTAATGAACACAGACTCTTTCGCCTTCCTATAGTGACCGACATGAACAATGGCGGTCGACTTTTGGACGTTTCTACGCATCTACTGTCACGTGTCCACGTGAGCCAGTCAGCTTCAGATAGTAGGACGCCATTTGGGTTTTGTTTGTGTCGCATGGGAAGATAAGAAGGTTGTAGGCTGAATGACAATTAAACACTTCTCTTAATATGGGCATGTAAAGTATATTATTAAAATGATATTACCACGCAGGTTACACATTGAGAAGCAGGAAAAACGAAGCGTAGAAACGACATAAAGTAAAATCGTTGATTGACGGGTGCACTGAATAAATAAATAAATAGCATCCTCAAAAAATAATCAGACCTAGAGATAGTAATTTACAAAACCAATACGCTATTATAAAACCACTGAGGTTACTCTCGGAATAGATATATATTTCTGAAGCTGATGTAACAGCCGATAGGAATCGTAAAATGGACCAAATGATGCGTGAAACGACTAAAAATGTAAAATTACTGCGTGGTTGAAGAGGGTAAACACAAAAAACGGAAACATTCAATAAGCAATTTCTTCCATAATAGCACAATAAGAGGGATAACGATCCACAAAACGCCACACTAGTGGCGCTAGTTCTGAATTTATTAAACCCCATAACCATAAAACATTAATTTATCTCTGTAACACCCTAACACAAGCGCTCTTGTGGTCCTCCTATCACGTGCCTCGATAATGTAAAATTTAGTCTCTAAACCGAACAAGTAACCCAGCAGTTGGCACGAACCACGATTTTGCTTTCAATATGAGAAGCCACTAAGAATGTTGGTATAAAATGACTGTAGTCTCGTTCATCACAGAATATTGACCAGGTAACCGGCTGTCCTGACTGAGGGGCTGCGTAGTTTTTCTGTCTTCCCAGACGAATGCCCTGATGGTAACTTCAAAAGGACAACATTTGCCATTTTCAAATCCTCACCTACATATTATTCACAGAATACGTCTACACAGCATCTACAGTTTTAAAATGTCAATCAGTCCGAAGGAATTAACATTTTACCGTTTAAATGACATCGTAAATTGTATCTTGTGAATATTAGGAATATCTATGATTGAAGATGGGCATGCCTCGAAGATATTGCGGGTTAGATTCCAAACCATCGCAATAAAGTGAGTCACGAATTTTTTGGTTTCCTAATGCATATAAAAGTTATGTTTATACTATATATTTTAGTCTATTAAGTGTGCAATAGCATTATGTCTAAAAAACAATGCGAGAATTATCAAAATGTGACACAGAGACACGAAGTGAGCACATGCTGTTGGAAAAATGGCGCCGATAGACTTGCTCGACGCAGGGTTGCCACAAACCTTCAATTTGTTAAAAAAAGCAATATCTGCGAAGCGCAATAAAACGAGGTATGCCTGTATTAAAAAATGAGGAGCTCCATAATATATACGCTTCTGAAGATATTAAGTGGACCATAAAATCAACGAAGATGTGGTTGGTGGCGCATGTGTTACGCAAGGGGAAATAATAATTTCTAATAAATTTTGGTGAAGAAGCCTGAAGGTACGAGGCCATTCGGAAGAATAGGTTGTCCAGTCCATAGACATTGCCGTTACTAATTGCTCAGTCCTGACACAAAATATGTAATATAGGCCTATAAGAAAAACCGTTTTATTTTACGAAATATATGACAATATATAAATTCAACATGCTTAAATGAACGATAAATAATCTATATAGTTTTTTAACATGAGTACATATATAATATATATAATAAATGCAAATACACGTGGAAAAAGTGCTATGGAGGAACGATAATATATAGAATACAGTTGATATTTATGCAAACTGTTGAAAATACATTCTTCTACGCAGATCTAGTTTTTATCAAGTAGATTATCTATGAGGCTTTGAAACAGAATTGGAGTTAGGGATACTGACATCTTGCCAACAGCATATCTTATATACGCAGTAAAATGACATTTTAAGCATATGAAATATATTACCAGCGGAAATAGGTAATCTAAACATAGATAATGTTTTAATAAGCGTTTTAAAACATGAATTTTATGTTTTTACTATATCACTTTTATGAAATCTTGACTACAAACAATGCATCAACTCTTTACCCCACAACGTCCCAAAACGATATATTACATGAAGATCATTTTAACCAGTGAATGTTGCTTTGTGAAGTTAATGCACACGTACTGATGGATTACGGATAAAAGCAAAGTCCTGAGGGTGACAGTAAGATGATGTAATGAAGAGTAGAGAAAATTGCATGAAGGGCATATTCATAATTTGGGCTCTTCACGTAATATTGTCAAGGCGATTAAAATAAAAAATATGTGTGAGACGTGTGGCGTACATTGGAAACATGAGAAATAAGGACGAGATTCTGGTTGTAATATCATCTGGGAGACTTTGATATAGACAGGAGAATTATATCAAAGTGCACCTTAAAGAAATACGTTTTGTTGATGTGAGATTGGTTTAACGAATAGTAGTGAAAGAATGCTTTAAATTGTACTGTATAGGAGTAAAGTAGCTCAAACGTTGAATCCAGTCACAGCGACTTCTTTTAACCATTTCAAACTACCAATGGTTACTAGGATGACCAAGTGCGGTGGCTATCACCATCATCGACATCACTGATGAACCTCTTGTCCTGTTCCGATTACAAAGACTCGACTCTTCCTGGCATTTTCAACCCTTTGATATGTATCGATACGGGATTCGATTGTAGGATATTATCTATCTGTATAATAATGTTGGTTGGCTATTTTTCTCTAATATTTAGGGATTTTTTCCCAGATAGTACAATATTCATGAATGTTTTTGTTGTTAACCGTTACCATGCTTTGAGGTTATTAACATGAGGTTTCTAGTATGGGATTTTGGACCTTAAAGTTAATATTGGCTACCATATGCATGCAATTTTACTCAAGGTAGCGAAGTTATTATAACATTGTTATAAGATCATATAACAGACTACACTATATGACATCACATTATATAATTTTATGCAAGTAAGTAATATAATTACAATTTAAAGCATAGCAGCTTTCGTAATTAAGAAAAGGTAAGTGATTATTGAGTTTTTATGTGCTGCTTTGTTATATTGTCCAATATCAACGAGTTTCTCAAGTACTACTTTATATACTTTCTCGTCATTCGTGACGAGAAACTTTCTAGTCTGTAAATGTTTTAGTAATTCATTCTTACAGCTTTTATTGTAGTATAGACAACTGTTGCTCCTACTCGATCTCTCATATTTTCATTACATTTATGAACCGTAATTCTGTATCCAGCAAACGCTGTAAGGAAACACAGTTCTGGCGCCTCTAATAATTTCATTTGTTCTTTCAATAAAGTCCAACATTACGATCCACATATGGCGGTATGGCTATTACTGTGTAGAATCGTCTGTGGCTGGATTTCGAATAATTTTGCAGTAAACACTCGTGGGAAAACTATGTGAGGTTGAAAATTATGCACATACATATGGCATGACAGTAAACACTCGTGGGAAAACTATGTGGGGTTGAAAATTATGCACATACATATGACATGCAAAAAAACCTCTCGAATATGAACACGCAGTGTCATTAAGCCGTACAATTGTAAATCTGAAATAATTCGCCTCTTTTGCCTTTGCATCGTCCAGGGTTATTTCCAATCACGCTTCGAAACTTCAGCTATAAATTTAATAGTTCCAGTATTATGACCCGTAAAATTTTTCTTCTCCATCCATTAAGCCTAAATTCTGTTTTGCTGAAACTCGTTACATCTGGCTGTACAATACCTTAAAATAGTCCAATTTCATTTATTATTTGTCTTACGTCCTATTACTAGTAATTCGTGTCAGCATATGTGTATGTGTGCGTTTGTGGTCAGGTTTTGTTGTGCATTTACATAAAAAATTTTCATTATTTCAATACGTTTAGTTTCGTCAACAACCTGACAAAGGAAACTGTTTACGTAATGATTCGATATATTTCATGGAAGGTGAAATAAATAAAACACGTTACAATAAACATAAATTGTTAATTTACGTTGTAAAGTTCTGGGAACAGTTTAATCATATTGCATGTATTTATGAAGAACAACACTAGAGAAATATTAGAAAGATGACGGTAAATAAGGGAAAAACAGAAATCTCGACCATCTATATTAAAGTTCAAATTTAGACTCACGTGAAGAAAATGATGATCGATCAGTATCGGAAAATGCAGACCGCAAATATTATTGCAATAAGTGAGTGATTAGAAAATGCACTTAATTGCTGAAAATAAATTCTAGCAGAAACAACGTCGATAAATTCGAATATTTTCCGTGCATACTTTTGGATAGATGTAAAAATTAAGCGATGAATTCTAATATTTTCCGTGCATACTTCTAGATAGATGTAAAAATGAATTTTAAAATATCGTGTTTACGTCTTATAATTTCTGTTAAAGATGAAGTCATGGGAAAGGTGATACAAATACGAGAGATGGATTGTGCTATGTCTTTGTCGAACTTCTGCCTACCATGATTGAATTATAGTAAACAATACTTAAATCTGTTTAGAACATTCATTTACTACAAGGTGTAGTACCAAAGTCCTGAAACCTAAATAATTTTGTGCAACCAAAAGAGTGGAAGCAGTTTCACACTGCTCTGACGAAGAGGAAAGGAAGGTTTTAGAAATGAAAAGCTGCGTGGATAAAGTGCCCCTATAATTCAGTAGCAAAATTGCGTGTCACAGGCAAAACAAGTACTCTCAAAGACGCTGCGGTAACTGTACTCACCGCTTCAATTGCAACTGAAGTGGCGGCGGGCGTTACACATGGCTATATTGTCACCTGCAGAAGGCGATATGGAGTGCCAGGAACAGACTCATCCAACCCCACGCTGGGCGGGGCTGCTCACAGGCCAGATTGCCGTGGTGCACCGCCGCAGGCAGCTCACCTGCATCAGAAAAATGAGTTTCGAAACATAAGTGTAGTTATTACTGTGTACACAGGTAGCTCACCTGTATTAGAAACATGAATTTGGAGACGTAAGTGTAGTTATTACTATGTACACAGGTAGCTCACCTGTAATAGAAACATGAATTTGGAGACGTAAGTGTAGTTATTACTGTGTACACAGGTATCTCACCTGTATTAGAAACATGAATTTGGAGACGTAAGTGTAGTTGTTACTGTGTACACAGGTAGCTCACCTGTATCAGAAACATGAGTTTGGTGACGTAAGTGTAGTTATTGCTGTGTACACAGGTAGCTCACCTGTATTAGAAACATGAATTTGGAGACGTAAGTGTAGTTATTGCTGTGTACACAGGTAGCTCACCTGTATCAGAAAAATGAGTTTGGTAACGTAAGCGTAGTTGTTACTCTGTACACAGGTAGATCAGGTGTAGTTATTACTGTGTACACAGGTAGATCACTTTTATGATATTTAAAATTGTACGTACATGCAGTCAGCTGGCAAATAATGTTACAAACGTGTAAAATACAGTTAGGTGCACTACACCTACTATCTTGTAACAGCTGTAGTGGCGACAACAATAATAATAACTAAAGCAACAACACATCCTTAAGATTAAAATAAAGTAAAAATGTTGACAGAATATGATTTTGTCTTCCAGTGGCATCACACCCAGTAATATTCATGTACCTATAGTTGGATAGTCTGTATAGAGTTGTGGGTTGGGGGACATAAACTGAAATATGCAAAAAAATTACTGTCCTTAATAAAGTTCAAGAGTTCAGTGCACACAAGGAAAGCTAGAAACACCATGCAGATAGCATGGGTGAAGAAGACAGGATGTGGATGATATCGCGGGATTATAAACCTACAGGACTAAGTACAAGAGAAAGTTTATGGAGGAACCTGAAAGAGAATCCCTGAAGGCAAATAAAGGAAAGTAAGGAGCCAAGTAGAGAACAACATTCTAATATAATTCGAAATATCAGCTATGTTCATTATGTCAATTAAATGTGTATACGTGAGGTACTGAACGCGTATAATAATAGTATCACAATTAGGAAATAACATGTTAAAAAGGGGGTTTTCAACACAAAATACAAAGGTTCATTTTGATACTATATGAAGTTTTAGTTCTTCGGGTGGCAATTTCATTATTGTTTATGTGCGATTTGTAAAGTTCATATATATAAGCATATAGCCTCTTTCCGGTTCTAAATGGAACCGAAAGAATTACGCTTTATGCTCAATGATTTTTAAATTTTCTTCAGAATATGCCTCCAGAACAGCCCAAGAGGATCATAAATGTAGAGACAAAATAAAACATCGTATATAAGCGCGTTTCACATCAATGCTGTATTGGCTATTAGTTTTGCTATGTCTACCTATCTGTCCACCCGCTCGTCAGTATATATGTAACAGCAACCCACTGGCTGAATAGATGATGAAGAATTTTCATGTTGCACAGCGACCAATACTCTCTCTGTCGAAATTGTAAGAAGTACTTATAAATGAGAAGCACTTACC